TGGAACGTCTTCCTGAGGTTCGTTGAAAAGCGAGAGTCATCGCCCTCACCTCTGCCTTCAATTCCTCCATTGTCGCCTCCATCGCCCCCATTCGCCCCTCCATGCTTCTTCGCTACCTCTCCTTCTTCTCCTCTCCGAAACTAATCCGGCAGGTCGGACCAAATCTGTTAGGTTCCTTTATACAAGGAACCGAACAGTAGCAAAAATACACACACTCAACAGTATAAAGGAATATGCATGTATATGTATTTCTATTTCCTCTGTAATGTGTAGAAAAAGATGAATACAGGTGTCTATCTCTTCCCCAAGGAAGCCTCCCTTCCTCCACTGGCCAAGAGGTCCAGTCTCAATTCCCAAATAATATTAGATACCCTCTCTCCTTAATCTGTTTGTTATTTATATTCCCTCTCTCTTCTAACCAACTAACCACCGTCTCCCACTACTTATTTCATCCCTTTTTTACCCCTTCTCACGTAAACCTTTAATTGCCTAACATGTACATAGTAGTACCTGCCCGCCATGAAGTTGTGTGGACACTGAATAATTTCAGCTGAGTTTTAATAATTTACTTTTATTTCTTAATTTATACAACTTGGATACAATGATAATTAGATAGCTTTAACATTTTATCATGTTTACTGCGACTTCTTCTCATTTGTAGAATATTTATTTCAACATTCTCTCCTTTTATTAAAGATTTTTATGTAGTTTAGTTTAATTTTATGTTACTCTATAACTGTTACATGTCCTGAATAAAATTTTTACCAAATTTGTGTCCTGAGTTATATTTGTGCTTCTTAATCTTAGTCATCTATCCTTGGGTGTCCAGAAATGACATGTATGTATATGAATGAAAGTGAATGATACAGAGTACTTTCATACCAAGGCCAAAATATGTTTGCTTGTTGATAAGATTCTCAATGCATTCGCAACAACTCTTAAAACACTCTGTTTTTAATAAGGATGTTATTGATGATTATCTCTTATTTATGTCATTAGGTTGCTCTGGTCATAGAACCAAAGGACAAAGAGGCAAGTGCCATGTACAAACAAGCTCTGGAGCTACTTTCACAAGCTTTGGAGGTGTGGCCGAATGCTAATGTAAAATTTAATTACTTGGAAAAGCTTCTGAGCAGTATACAGCCATCTCAAGCAAAGGATCCATCCACTGCACTTGCACAGGGTTTGGATGTCATGAACAAAGTGTTAGAGAAACAACCTCACTTGTTCATAAGAAATAACATTAATCAGATTTCTCAAGTGGGTCTAACATTATGTTTTTTTTTTTCTTTTTTCATTTCCTCAGTGATTCAGTTATTATATTAATTGTATTTTTCTTCCAGATTCTTGAACCATGTTTCAAGCATAAACTGTTAGATGCTGGCAAATCATTTTGCTCACTGTTGAGGATGATTTTTGTTGCTTTTCCTCAAGAAGCACCTACCACACCTGCAGATGTTAAGTTATTGTACCAGAAGCTTGATGATTTGATACAGAAGCATGCTACCACTGTCACAGCTCCTCAAACGGCAAGCGATGACAATAATGCTAGTTCAATTAGTTTCGTATTGCTTGTCATAAAAACCTTGACAGAGGTACAAAGGAACTTTGTTGATCCTTTAATTTTGGTTCGCATTCTTCAACGGCTACAACGAGATATGGGTTCAGCGGCAGGGCCTCATTTAAGACAAGTATGGTGGTTTTCCTTTTTGAATTAATAATATTCTATGAAGTTTCAGGTATAGAAAGAATTTCTATATTAAAATAGAAATGATTGTAGAAACAAAATTAATACTTAGAATTTAGTGGGAAAATATGCATGATAAATCGGTCTGCACATGCATGATTTAAATTGCTTTTTTTATCTAATTTTTTTAACCTCACTCAGCAAAAGCTTATTATACTGACTATAAACTTATAATTTTATTCAGATTGAAGCAGTTGTGTTTGTTTCAGTTCCTCTATTTTTCTTTTGGATGCATTGAAGTTTTATTTATTTATATTGTTAATATATGCTGCTTGACAATTAAATTCCGTGGTGTAATGTAGCAAGACCTACTCTACAGCCTTGGTTTTTATTTGGTAAGGTGCTATATAGACATGGTTATAAAACAAAGGTTGTTTGGACTTCTTTCTTGTATTAAATCAAATCTATCCGACCATTCTAGTGTGATTAACATATATTTTGTCTTGCCGATTGTGTTATTTGTATTTTAAATCTATAAGAAGTTCGTGTGATATGTTTTTATGTTTCAAGTTTTGATAAATTTTCATACATTATAAGGGACAGAGAACAGATCCAGATTCAGCAGTCACATCTTCTCGTCAAGGTGCTGATGTTGGAGCAATTATTTCAAATGTAAAATCAATTTTGAAACTTATCACTGATAGAGTGATGGTTGTTTCTGAGTGCAAGCGGTCTGTGTCTCAAATATTGAATGCTTTACTCTCAGAGAAAGCAATTGATGCTAGTGTACTTCTTTGCATACTTGATGTGGTTAAAGGGTGGGTTGAAGATGACTTCTGTAAACAAGGAACTCCAATCACGCCAGGTTCCTTTCTCACCCCCAAGGAGATAGTTTCTTTTCTTCAAAAGCTGTCACAAGTTGACAAGCAAAATTTCACACCAGTTGCTCTGGAAGAGTGGGACAGGAAATATCTTGAACTTCTATACGGGATTTGTGCAGATTCAAATAAGTAAGTTATTCATCTTAAGTTTATCTGTGCTATGCTTGAAATGTATTCTGTCTTATTTTTTAAATGATTTCCAGATACCCTTTACCTTTGCGTCAAGAGATTTTTCAGAAGGTGGAAAGGCTATATATGCTTGGTTTACGAGCCAAAGATCCAGAAGTTAGGATGAAATTTTTCTCTCTCTATCACGAGTCTCTTGGAAAAACTCTTTTTACCAGACTTCAATTTATCATCCAAATTCAAGACTGGGGGGCTTTGAGTGATGTCTTCTGGCTCAAGCAAGGCCTTGATCTTCTCCTGGCAATATTGGTTGAGGATAAACCTATTACACTAGCTCCAAATTCTGCCAGAGTTCAACCCCTTTTCGTTTCAGGTTCTATTATGGAATTGAGTGGGATGCCACATAAGGTGAATGATGTACTTGAAGGATCTGAGGATGCTCCTTTAACACTGGAGACCCTTGTGCATAAGCATGCCCAGTTTCTTAACAGCATGAGCAAACTCCAGGTTACTGAATGTTTAATCGCTTGAGTACTAGTATAAAACTGAAAGAGGACTTGAAAGAATGAACTAAACGTGAACTGAATGTTTTTATTATTGTATCTCAAGTTCTGAAACATGAGTTCAGAATGTATTTATAGGCATCGCTTACTGACAGCTGTATAAAGACTCACAGCTGTACTAAGTAGCTCACTAATAAATCTACATCTGTACAAAGAGACTTACTAGCTGTACAGAAAAAGGTTTACAAGTAATACTTATATAAACTAACTTGTTTCTACTGACATACTGAATGTTTAATCACTTAAGTACTACTTTACTCTCTTTATTAAAGTTGTAGATCGTGAGTTTTATTGCTCTGGTTATTGTATTGCATCATGAAGTTTCAAGATATGGTAGTGGCACAGTACTTGTTATGTGTAAAAGTTCTTGTGTTTGTTAAAAACGTTAAAATGTTTTGAGACTTTTTTTGGCCTTATACTTTGGATTTGTCAAATTGAGGACTACAGCCTATCACTGTTTTCTGTCACACATTGTAAATTTGTAAGTATCTGATGTGCCCAGTTATTGGCACATACTTCATAGTCTCACACAATGATAAAATTTCTTCCAGGTGGTTGATCTATTAATTCCCTTGAGAGAGCTAGCTCACACAGATGCTAATGTTGCGTACCATTTGTGGGTACTGGTATTTCCAATTGTCTGGGTTACATTGCATAAAGAAGAACAGGTAACACTTGCAAAACCTATGATTAATCTTTTGTCTAAAGATTACCACAAAAAGCAGCAAGCCAACAGACCAAATGTAGTGCAAGCTCTATTAGAAGGGCTTCAGTTGAGCCATCCTCAACCCAGAATGCCAAGCGAGCTTATTAAATATATTGGGAAAACTTATAATGCATGGCACATTGCACTAGCTTTGTTGGAAAGTCATGTTATGTTGTTCCCCAATGATTCCAAATGCTCCGAGTCTCTGGCTGAGCTCTATCGTTTGCTCAATGAAGAGGATATGAGATGTGGGTTGTGGAAGAAGAGATCAGTGACTGCAGAAACCCGGGCTGGCCTTTCTCTTGTTCAGCATGGCTATTGGCATCGTGCCCAAAGTCTCTTCTATCAAGCCATGGTGAAGGCAACTCAAGGAACATATAATAACACTGTGCCTAAGGCTGAGATGTGTCTATGGGAAGAGCAGTGGTTATACTGTGCTAGTCAACTTAGTCAATGGGAAGCACTGGCAGACTTTGGCAAGAGTGTTGAGAATTACGAAATTCTGCTTGACAGTCTTTGGAAATTGCCTGACTGGACATATATGAAAGAGCATGTCATTCCCAAAGCTCAAGTGGAAGAAACTCCAAAGCTTCGTCTAATTCAAGCATACTTTGCTCTTCATGATAAAAATACAAATGGTGTGGGGGATGCTGAGAATATGGTAGGTAAAGCTGTTGATCTTGCTCTGGAACAATGGTGGCAGCTGCCTGAAATGTCTGTTCATTCCAGAATTCCTCTTCTGCAGCAATTCCAACAAATAGTTGAAGTTCAAGAGTCAGCTAGGATTCTAATAGATATTTCCAATGGAAATAAACTCTCAGGAAATTCAGTGGTTGGTGTGCAAGGGAACCTTTATGCTGATCTGAAGGACATCCTTGAGACATGGAGACTTAGAACCCCAAATGAATGGGATAATATGTCTGTTTGGTATGATTTGCTGCAGTGGAGGAACGAAATGTACAACTCTGTCATTGATGCTTTCAAAGATTTTGGTGCCACAAATTCAGCACTTCATCATCTTGGTTACCGTGACAAAGCGTGGACTGTAAACAGGCTTGCTCACATTGCTCGCAAGCAAGGCCTTTTTGATGTCTGTGTCACCATACTTGAAAAATTATACGGCCATTCAACTATGGAAGTGCAGGTAGGATATCTGGTCATCTGTAGTTAGAGGATTATCTGATTTTTGTCATTATCTGTACAATTTTTAATTATATGAGCCTAACCATTGGGGGTTGCTTTACATTTTTTTCTGATTATTTTGACATGAAAATCATATGGCAAGTTCAGTTTTTTTATTAATCTGTATGTTATTTGTACAGCATTAACATACCTTTTTTATTTTCACAGTACGTTTTATTTGACTGTATTGAACTCTGAAATTTGAGAACTTGTGTAGATTTTATCTGATATGCTCTTTGTCAAGTATTTACAGGAAGCGTTTGTTAAGATTACTGAACAAGCAAAGGCATACCTAGAAAGTAAGGGAGAACTTACAAGTGGTATTAATCTGATCAACAGCACTAATCTAGAGTATTTTCCTGCAAAGCATAAGGCTGAAATTTTCCGTCTGAAAGGGGATTTCTTGTTAAAATTGAATGATTCCGACTCTACTAATGTTGCTTATTCAAATGCCATTAGTCTTTTCAAAAACTTGCCGAAAGGATGGATAAGCTGGGGAGACTACTGTGATATGGTAATTAGTATCTGTTTTTCACGTTACTTTCTATGACTGATAAAGTATTAACTAAGTTTTGTACTTATCTGACATCTACTTCAAATAGGCATACAGAGAAACTCATGAAGAGATTTGGTTGGAATATGCTGTCAGCTGCTTTTTGCAAGGTATAAAATTTGGTGTGTCCAATTCAAGAAGCCATCTTGCTCGTGTGCTTTATCTTCTTAGCTTTGATACTTCTAATGAGCCTGTTGGAAGGGCATTTGATAAGTACTATGAACAAATACCACATTGGGTTTGGCTCTCTTGGATTCCACAGCTCTTGCTCTCTCTTCAGAGGACCGAAGCACCTCACTGTAAACTTGTTCTTATGAAGATTGCAACGTTGTATCCTCAGGTGAGTGTTTCCATAATTGCATTTGTTTATTACATATTATATAGATCCTAAATTATTACAAGTTTCTTCTCCTGAATTTCAGGCTTTGTATTATTGGTTGCGCACATACTTACTGGAACGACGTGATGTTGCGAATAAATCTGAACTTGGTAGGATTGCAATGGCTCAACAAAGAACACAACAGAGTGTTTCTGGTACTAGTACTGGTTCTCTTGGTGGGTTGGCTGATGGAAATGCAAGAGTACAGGGTCCAGGGGGGAGTAACTTGCCAACTGATATTCAATCTCACCAAAGCTCCCAGCCTGCGGGTGGAATTGGATCTCATGATGGTGGAAACTCACATGGGCAAGAACCTGAAAGGTCTACAAGTGTAGAAAGCAACATGCACAATGGAAATGACCAACCTTTGCAGCAAGGTTCTGCAAACCTCAATGAAGGTGGTCAAAACACTTTAAGACGTGCTGCTGGTGCTTTAGGTTTTGTGGCTTCAGCTGCCAGTGCTTTTGATGCTGCAAAAGATATAATGGAGGCCCTTAGGGGCAAGCATGCTAATTTGGCTAGTGAACTCGAGGTCATCATCTTCCAGACTTTTTAAGTTGTTTTACTTTGTTTAAAGTCGATGCTATTCAACCTCACCATCTCCATTCACCCTTTCTCCCTGTTGCATGCGTAAAACCATTGCTGCTAGCACTTAGGAATAACGATGAGATAATTGTACACATTTATTGAATGGAGCTATGAATCAATGTAGCAAAGTAAACATAAAGGGATACACCATGGACAAAGCCACATGAAAAAGGACAGTAGATAATTTTTATATACGTGGATTTGTAGCAAAATTGTCTAATTGTGTGGTACTTCCTGGAAGCTCGTCTTTCATGTTTATGTGGATTGAACTAGCACAAGAGTTAAAATGATTTTTTATATAACTATTTTGTGAATTGTGCCATTGTATCTGAAAATAAAATCTGCATTACGTGTTACCTAAAATAGAAGTTACTTGGATTATTATAACAAAACTTTTATATCACAGATCTTGCTAACGGAAATTGGTTCAAGATTTGTCACTCTTCCTGAAGAGAGGCTTCTGGCAGTGGTTAATGCTTTGCTTCATCGCTGCTATAAATATCCAACAGCTACAACGGCTGAAGTTCCTCAGTCTCTCAAGAAAGAACTCTCTGGTGTTTGTAGAGCTTGCTTTTCTGCTGACGCCGTAAATAAGCATGTTGATTTTGTGAGGGAGTACAAACAGGATTTTGAACGAGATCTAGATCCAGAAAGCACTGCCACTTTTCCATCTACCCTCTCTCAACTGACTGAGCGGTTGAAACACTGGAAAAATGTTCTTCAAAGCAATGTTGAGGATCGGTTTCCAGCAGTATTAAAGCTGGAAGAAGAAAGCAAGGTATTGCGGGACTTCCATGTTATTGATGTTGAAGTTCCAGGGCAATATTTCACTGATCAGGTAACTGATTCTGAATTTTTTCTTTTAAAAAATTGCCAAAATTTGAATGTGTTGCACTACAATATATTACAGAATTGATATTTCCTTAAACTGACCCCGAGTTTACCCGGGGACTATTTGGTGCATCCCATACTGATTCCTATTTATTTATTTTGTTCCAGGAAATTGCACCAGATCATACTGTTAAGTTGGATAGGGTTGCGGCAGATATTCCAATTGTGCGGAGGCATGGTAGCAGTTTTCGCCGTTTGACACTAATTGGCTCTGATGGCTCCCAACGTCATTTTATTGTTCAGACATCTTTGACTCCCAATGCTAGAAGTGATGAGCGCATATTGCAGCTTTTCCGTGTGATGAACCAAATGTTTGAGAAGCACAAGGAATCAAGACGCCGTCACATATGCATTCACACACCCATAATTATTCCTGTTTGGTCTCAGGTTAAATTAATTTTCTTAGTTCATTATTGTATCTTTTCAGTAGTTTTAGATTGATGGAACCATGGCCTTGATTGCAACCAAGAAAGACTATCAAATCAAGACTACAATTTAAACTTTTACCTGCTTAAAGTATCCTCTAATTTTACTTGAATTTTTGTATGGACAGGTTCGCATGGTGGAGGATGATTTGATGTATAGTACTTTCCTTGAGGTCTATGAGAATCATTGTGCAAGGAATGACCGTGAGGCAGATCTTCCGATAACCTATTTCAAGGAGCAGTTGAACCAAGCTATCTCTGGCCAAATATCACCAGAAGCTGTTGTTGATCTTCGTCTGCAAGCCTATAATGAGATCACGAAAAATCTTGTTAATGACAACATTTTTTCGCAGTATATGTATAAAACACTACCGAGTGGCAACCATAGTTGGGCTTTCAAGAAGCAGTTTGCCGTCCAGTTAGCCCTTTCAAGTTTCATGTCCTTTATGCTACAAATTGGTGGGAGGTCTCCGAATAAGATTTTGTTTGCTAAGAACACTGGAAAAATATTCCAAACTGATTTTCATCCTGCATATGATCCAAATGGGTTGATTGAGTTTAACGAACCAGTCCCATTTAGACTGACAAGGAATATGCAAGCCTTCTTCTCCCATGGCGTGGAAGGCCTAATCGTATCCTCAATGTGTGCAGCTGCGCAGGCTGTGGCTTCACCTAAGGTAAGAACTGAGCGTGCATACATAAACTTGAATTCTCCAATGCAATACTATCAATTGATCTGTTAAATTATTGGTATTACAGCAAAGTCAGCACCTGTGGCATCATCTAGCAATGTTTTTCCGCGATGAGCTACTGTCTTGGTCTTGGAGAAGGCCCCTTGGGATGCCCATGGCCTCTATGGCTGCAGGTGGTACCATGAGCCCAGTTGACTTCAAGCAGAAAGTTATCACAAATGTGGAACATGTTATTACGAGGGTTAAGGGAATCGCTCCTCAAAATTTTTCTGAAGAGGTATTAAGCAACTAAACAAAATTGCGTTCCCTTCTCAGTGTTCTGAAATTGTTTATCCTTTCGTTTAATTAATTTAGAAATTCCACTTAAGGTTTTCTCTTTAATTGCTGGATTGATGGAACTAGGAGATAAATTCTTTTGTAACAAGTTTCTGAGTATTTTACGGGTTACCTAGCTAAAATAAAGCAGTCCACTTTTATCTTTTTGGACATGTTTATGGATTTAATAATTACTTGAACAAAAGGAAAGAAAGGGGATGAAGGTTTTTTGCATTTCTATTTTTTCTGTTAGCACCACTCATTATCACTGATTGTAAGTTTCTGCCTCCTGCTAATGTCCTTACACTCGGTCATTATTGATACTTGATCGTTTTATTTTCTCCCTTTTCAATTTTCCCATTCCTTATTTATCAATAAGTTTGCCAGTTCGTGTTTTTCACTACAATTGATGTTCTAGAACATAGTATTTAAAATACTTTTGGACAATTTTGACTATATCTATCCCAAGTTTCTACCTATTTAGTATATTTTATGCTGCCTGCTATTTTAATCTAGAGTATTTATGTTTTTTTTATATAGGAGGAGAATGTTATGGATCCACCACAACCTGTGCAGAGGGGTGTTACTGAATTGGTTGAAGCAGCCTTGAACCCTAGGAACTTGTGCATGATGGATCCAACGTGGCATCCCTGGTTTTAAGTTCTGATGGTAGTCTTTTCTTGAAAAGTAACAGCACTGTAAATATGTGTACATATTCCAGCTTTGCAGAGTAGTGATAGTTAATATGTTGAATCCAATTGTTAAATTGATATATATTAGGTCTCATTTTTCTTCTGCTATAGGCTAGAGCTATACACAGTAGAGTATTAGTTACAGGAGCATGATGAGGGACCGACATGTATAATTAAGGGTTCATTGATTTGTAGAAGACATTTGTATACATCTGTGAATCATCGAGTAAATGACTGTTTAAAGTGTGTTGAGAATTAATCTGTTACTTTATTATTTATCTATATTATTAAAATTTGAATAATTAACCCAGTCTAGATTCAGTAGATAAGTTCGAAAATTACCTTCAGTGATAGGGATGTTATCAATCAAATAAATTATATTTTGAATAAAAACTTACAAAACTCGCATGATTTGTATGGGAACAGTCAAAATGCATTGTGTATTGTAATAGCTATAGTGAATGAGTTCAGTTCAGTAAGAATTCATGTTTTTACTCATATCATACACGTATATTCTATATCACTTTTTCTTTGCATGACATGTGATATCACTTGATGCAAGATATGTTGGAATCTATTTATTTATTAATACTTGTGAATTGATTATGAATAGTTTATGTCAACCAATTCTTGGGTATTGTTTGGTTAAAGTAAGAGATGGAAAAGGAAAAGTAAACGAAAAAAAAGTAATAATTTTTTTAACCTTTATTTTTTTTTCCTTGAACAAGAGAAGAAAAATTGTAGTGGAACTCTTTACTCTTAATCAAAGAAATAACCTTTGGTTTTAAAGTAGGATGAAATGATAGTCAAATGACACTTATTAAGCACAATGTTGTGCATCCATTCAATAAGGTAAAATACCTACATTTATCGATATTTATAAAATTCTTTTATATTTTATTATTAAACACAATCAAATTAAAAATGCAGTATTCAATATATAAAATCTTAAAAAATACCAACATAAGACTTATTTAATGGTTAGGGATTCCAATAAATGACAGCAAAAATGTATTAATTTGTTCTTTTTTTTTCATATATTTTGGTCTAGACGAATCTATGATCTATCAAAGTCACTGTTTTTACAAAATATCTATAAAGATATAATTAATAGTATAAACATTCTATATGTTTTTAATTAATTAATATTAAAATATTTAACATATAATATTTTTATATCTTAAGTCATTCAATCATCATCAATAATTAAAACTTAAAGTTTAAATATTAATATATTAATTATTCAAATTTCTAACACCAAAAATATCTATATAACTCCATCGTTAATATATACTCTATTTGAAATGTTCTATTTTACATGTTATTCTTTTGTGAAAAAAAAAATATTGAGTGAACAGAGAAGATAAGATACTATATAAAACAATAACACTTTAAATAAAAATTATGAAGAGTAATAAACTAAACTAAGACTCAACTTAGTTATGTAAGAAACTATTAGTAATTCACAAATTTTAATTTTATTCTAAGATATATTAAAGCCCTCTAGATAACTTAATAAATATTATGCACTAAAAGTTTTGACACGTGACCTTTTAATATCTTATGTATGCAAACCTTAAGTATATGAATTGAAGTATGTTTAAAGTATATTTTTTTTGTTAGACTTCAACGTGTGTTCGCATTAATTCTTTTAAATTCAACATGTGTTACCAATAATTTCCTTCAACTTCTCATCACTCGATGTTTTGCAACATATAATTTTGCTCAATATCTACATTCATTCATGGTTCACATGTCACCCGAGATTTGTGACCTCAAAAATACACACCATACAATAATTTGTCGGGGATCCTTATCAAGCATGAGATTGAGCTTATGATCCTTATCAAGTTTCAATTTCTTGAATTCTGAACAAACAATCATGCATTAATTTCAAGAGTCTAAGATTACTAATTAATCAAGTTCTATTCCTAGATACAAACATCCATTAGCTGTTCAATTTCACTTGTAGGTTCAAGTCATATTTTCCTACCACAAATCAAGCATGAAATCAATTCATATCAAGCATTAAACATGAAAATTGAATAGTAACATGAATTGGAAAACACACATTATTAACAACACAAAATTACACAAGAGTATCATGTTTTACGACTAATCTCAACAAATAAGAATAGTCCTTCATGGTCAAGAACTTAGAGTTCTTCAAATTTATTAGATTCATTTGACACTAATCTACTTGATTTTTTATTTTTTTTCTCAAAAGTATAGAAGTTTACTTTTTTATAATTATTTTATCTTTATAATGTTTGTTAAATAAATATAAATGTGTTATTCTACTATTACTCTTGATTGAATTAAAAAAAATTACTTTTGTTAAATGAAAATTTGTTCAAGAATTTTGATCCACACTACCATAATAACTTGAATTATCAAATAATGTATTGATTGATGAATTAAATGATGATAAAGAAGAGTAAGACCTAATATTTTTTTCTTTTTAGATGGTTAACCTCAAAATAAAGAGACGTGACTATGGTTGTTGTGTCAAATTTCTAATTCTTTTTTATATGAATCTAGTTTTAGCTTCTTGTAAATGGAAAATTCAACTTGTAATATCAACCATTTAAAATTCTATAATCTTAAAAAAAAAACTAGTATTTACATCAGATTAAATTTTAATTTTTGTTAGAGTTGAATATATTTTTAATTTTTGAACTTTGACACAAAATTAAAATTTATCTATATATAAAATTTTAATATATTTATCTACAAGTAAAATGAATATATATAATTTTTTTTTAATTTAATTATGTTAAAAAAATTCACATATCAAACGTATTAAATTTTGCTAAAGTGTCAAACACATTTTAGTTCTTAAAATACTATATTTATAAAAAATATTTTCTTATATGTTTATCTATAGAAAATATTTTCTTATATGTTTATCTATAAAAAATATTTTCTTATATCTTTATCCAAATAACTCAATTTGTTAGTTAGAATTAAGTTATTGAGAAATTTGTTGAGGTTCATGTTGACATATTATTGTAAATAAAACGTTAAAATTTGATTTCTTAGAGTCGAATTCTAAACTGTTTTTTCACTTTCTTTTTAATTTTTTAATGAAATAAAATTATAAAAATTAAAAATTAAAACTATAATAATAAAACATATTGTATAACATTCCGCAACATTTAAGATTTATGTTGTAATAAATTAAATAAATTGTTAAATTTAGTCAATATGGAGATTTTTTCAAAAACATTAAATTTTTTGATAATAAATATTAAAAATCTAAAATTGATTTGAAATCATGATTTGAGTGTATTTATATTTAAATGTGCTTATTAATTAAATAATAAATAATGTATACATATTTATGAAATTAAATTTATTGCAATAATTTGTTTGTAATAATTAAATGGTATAAGATATATAGCTCTGTTAACAGTAATTGATATTTTAAAATTAAATAAATATATTTTGTTTTTATTTATTGAGTTTATTTTTTTAAATGAAATAATGAAATCAATTTTAAATTAAACAAAAAAAATTGTTATAAAATGAAAATTAATAATATATTAATACAAATTATTAACATTCTACAATTTTCTTAAATATTGTGATCATTTTAATAATTTTTTTTGTTAATAATCTAACATATCAAAATATATATTAAATTAAATTAAGTTGTCAATTGTTAATAAAATAATATGTTATCGTTATCTTTTATTTTTTAAGTAATATAATATTTTTGAAAAATATATATATTTTTTTTGTCTAATTGAATTGTTTAATAATGATAAATTTAATTGATAATAAAAATTGAAAAGTTAATTTATTATTTAAATTAATTATTTCATTTAATATTATAAATATGAATTTATTTAAATGCATTAGAAGTTTTGTTTCCAATAATTTAATTTAAAATTAAAAATATCATTTACTAAAATGATAAAAAGAATCATAAATTTAAATTACAAATAAATAAATAAACAATATCTAAAACACATATTAAATTATGTAATTAATATTTATTATTTAATAGCCTGTGTAAAAATAAAAGATAATAATTTAAAAAAATCATAATGTTAATTTTAAAAAATGGAAAAAAAGTAAACTTGTTCCCAAAAAATTTAATTCTATTTTTTTTTTAATGAAGTTTGTGCTTTGGACAAAATTTCTTATTCTAATAACATATACTCTTTACTAAGCACCAACTAATTTTGATATTTTATGACTGGAATCATTTTTTAAAAGTCAGATTAACTACTTCAGTTGATTTATGTTTCCTATTTTATTTCTAAATGTAACATTAAATCTTAACTAAAACCAATGACAACAATTAAATTTAAATAAAATTACAATTCATACAAATTTTGGATTCGAATATCAAATTAGATGAGAAATCCATAAATGAAATATCTATTTTAAAATCAAACCATTCAAATTAGAGAAAAAATAAAGATAAATTTTTAGTCTTATTCAGATTTGATCTTGTTCCTCTTTTCTTTAACTCTCTTTTTCATTAAATTGTCTTGTTCGATTATATTTATTTGTAAACGTTGTAGTCTCTAGATTTTGAGATTCCTCTAGATTTATTTGTAAAATCACTATATTTCAAAATCCTCTATATCTATTAGTGTTTCAATTTTATTCAAAAACTTACTCCTTATAGGATCAAATTAGATATTACTAAATAAATATGTAATAAATATTTATATTTAATTTTGATTATTATGCTATTAAACTTAGTAAGTAAAATTTGAACTTATTAAATATTAAATTTTTAAACAAGTTTCTATGCACTAGATGAGAAATCAAATGACTCTAGTATAATCTATTATTTAAACAATAATTTGAATTATAAATATATATTAGTCTATATATTGCATGCATGAAAAAATTTGCCACCTATTAAAATTTATCAAAGCAAATTTAATTAGCGTTTATAAAAATTAAAATAAGTTAAAAAAAATAAACAACAAATTACATGAAACATAGTAAGACTATAAGCTCTAATTTTATATTATTGCATAAACTTGTTATCCCTTGATGGAAACTTTGTGGTGTAACAATACCATGCAAAAAGTTTACTATTAATTTGAAAAAAGATCAATTATTTATAAGCAAAGATGATGAAATATCATGAATTAAATTAATTACTTAAGGAATACAATTTATTTTTCTAGATGAATTCTGTTATAAGAAATAAAACTAGTAAAACTTGATATATTATTTATATAATGATGAAAAATTATATCATTAATACTATTATACTATCAATTATAATAT